CAAGGTCTGTTTGTAGTTTACGCTATAATTTAATTAAATGAACCCACGACCCGTTGAATATTACCGTTAGATCAACGAGCCCGTCAAAATCATGTTGTATAGTTATATACCTAATTTATGCGACTTGCTTAGCAATAGTCACACCGCCGCCAATAATTAATGCAGTAACTAATCATTAGCGATTTAAATAATTTAATATATCCATTATTTATTCTATGCGGAGAATAATTTGTTAAACGGTTGAAAGTTACTGCATTGAATGCATTTAACGCGGCCCGACGTTCGGATGCAGCAGTCGTGGTCACTAAAGATGTAGGGTGTCTTTGACATCGACAAAATTGCTACGCTAGCGCCATCTGTTCCGTCGAAGTTGGTATTTGGCCGGGCTGTAGTTAAAATAATGTTCAAACAAGTTTAAGTAATATATATCGCGTTTTAAACCGTTAAAGTGTTTTATTTAAATAGTTTAAAAAGGGTTAAAAAGAATAAAATAGAAATAACCCTCACTGGAAGAACGTAGAGGCGTAAAGTAATATAAAAATGTTTTTTCGTTAATATAAGAAGTTATTATTCTTTAGCGTGATGTTATATAAGCTTAATAAAAGTCAAGTATTAAGAAAATAGGCCATTAAACTGGTGTGTCCGACCGTTGGCAAGTGATTGATGACAGTAATTCGCCACTTCTCAGCCACGCTACCCGCTTCCTACCGCAGCGTATGGTGCCGGACACTCTCGTCACCAAGGCCGCCGCAGCTTTATCCCCCCTGTCATTATTACTGACTTGATATGTAACCTCCGTGTTCGTTAATGGCGAACGAAAAGGAGGATTACAATGAAATTACTTTAACGGGGGAAAACGAGATTCTTTTTACTTCGAAGACAGCATGAGCATCCGAAAATTATCCGGGTTGTTTGTAAGTAAAAATATTTTAATCGTATTTAATCAACTGACTTAGTTGCGTGTTGAAGAACGAAAGCTAGATTTAAGTACAAGAAATGTTATGTATCTAGAAAGCGTAGTGTGAAATAGACAATTATTCTTTCTTACAAACAATATATGTATATTTATATATACCGTATAGAAATATAAAGTTGGTCAAGATAAAATGGCCAGTAGAGTTTATCTCCATGTACCTTATAAATATATCTCGAGACCGTATAATTTGAATTTCCGACGTTCAAGTCGAAAATTTTTATTCTGTTTTTTTTTATGCGGGGCATGTTACGTTTTCGCCTCTTTCTTCTAATCGATATTATTTGCAGGCAAAAAGTCCTGCTCGACCGAAACTATTATTATCTCTGCCGGAAATCGAGCTGAGGGTCTGTTTATAAAGCAATATGTTAAGCTCAAAAGCCAACTCAATATATTAAAACTAATGGTCGGTAACTATTATAAAAATGTGAATACCCATTTCCCCTGGGACATAGGGAGAACACATTTTTGTGTCCATTTCCATGGTCAGTTTAACTTACAGGCAAGTAGTTAATCAGACTTCTGTGACGATCGAAACAATCTATTTATTGTTTTCTACGGGATTCGAACCCACGATTTGCAATATTAGGAAAAACGGTTTACCATCTAGATAAGATGCTCTGTCACTATTATACGTCTCATTGTTTTCAAATAAATTTAGACAGTGCTCTGAATTATAAATGTTATCCGAGAGCTATAATATGTTACCGTTCCTAACGTATGTTCCTAACGTTCCTTTAATTCTATAAATAGATAAATTCAGTTAACATATACAGCACATATGTAATTTAATTTATTACAGCGTGTAAGAGCGCCTGTGCTCTCTCTTTTAATGAAACCGCAATACTCGTAACGAGTTTGTTGGTATTTATCAATTAAGTTCGAAGAAATAAATTCAGCTCGTATGTAATTAACACTTTGAACACCTGCGCGAGAACTTCGAACTTAGATAATATAAGTTAACGGTTTCTATTTTAATGACTAACGAAGTTAAAAGTAACGAGGTTGGAATAACATATAAGGCTAAAAATCAACGGGTCGTGGGTTCGTTCTTTACCGGGTATTATAAATTTATAATTCTTCTAAAACATTTTGAACTTCGTCTAGAAATCTGGATAATTAATGTGTGATAGGAATATCGTAAATCCGTCCGGGTCGCGAACTATCGTTCAAAGACGAAAAAGCCGTCAAGTTTAATGGCGTTTCGGCTTCAGTCTTTGTCGAAGATCCAAAGCCAAAATACGCCGACTTCAATTTTATATTATATTTTCTTTATTCATTTTTTTTAACTACATCAAAGTACGTAATTTGATTTAGTTCAAAAGTACCTCATGTGAAGTAACTTCATTTTAGTCTCTTTGGTTTACTGTCTAAAGTTATGCGAATTAATTCTTTTTTTTTTAAAGTTGTATGTATTTTATTGTTAAACAAGTGAACCACGCGGGTGGAATTTACATGAAGGCCCTATAATCATCATACTATAGGCAATATCAACGAGCCGAAACCGCAAAGCACTTCTTATAAATAAATTTAACAGCGAAATGCAAAATTGAATTTGTATGAGATTGAACGTTTTATATCATCGATCACTGACGCTCGCAGAGGCGGCGAGATCTAAGTAATCGGTATACGTTATCTTCAGCGAGATGCGACGGCGACGCTCAAAGCTCACATTGGTGTAGATTAACATGTTGCCCGCAAATCGAAGTTTGCGTGTCAAAAATGTACTAGGTTTCTAGGAGGCAATTCTCAAAAAAATTATAAAATTTTCTCGTCGACATTTTTACAAATTTTACATATTTAAATGAAACACTTAACGATTTAAATGTTTTATTTAAATTTGTAAAATTAAACGCGAAATATAAAAGCAAAGTATCCTTAAACGTAGTTGAACTAAATAAAAAATAGTGCATGTATTAATAGTCTGAAAGAATTTGACAAAGGCGTGGAGAACTCGGTAGCCCAATTGGTTAAAGCAAAGCACAGAATGCTGTGAATGCCGGTTCAAGTCCTGCCCGTGTCGTAAACTTTTAAAAATCTAAAACCGGTTTTTTTTATAAGTTATCATATTATATTTTGCGTTGTAAACCCTTATCAATGTTTTTTTATGCGTATTACCCGCGTAAACTATACATAAATTTGTCATAATTTGCGTCTTACATGTGCGCCCATTTCCATTTTTTTTTATTGTTCTCAGGAAATTAATACGTGTAAATGTTCTAATCACTACTCTAGCATTTTGAAATATATTTTTGCTCCGAAGCGTTTGAACTCAGATACAATAAGCTCAACATTTCCATCGCAACAGGAAAACAAAATTGGAAAAACGAGATTTGATCGTACCTTTGACCTTTTGAGATTGTATTTCACAGTTGTACATTCTTTGATTTCATATTTTTTGCGTATCGACAAGAGTTCGATATTAAATTGGGGGATGAAAGCGAACGAATATAAACAGCTTATTTTGACTTTAAAGGAGTTCTCCCCGTTTGACAGACGATATTGTGAGTCATTGTGGTGGTATTTACAAGCTTATTTGGTTACACAAGCGTTTCGTAAAAAGACGAAGAGAGATGGCCCATCAATCAACGGCGTGACGTGCAGATGCTTTGTTGCGGTGTATTTTTCAGTGAAGCCCTTCCTATAGCACATATTGTAAATGTTTAGACATCTGTGAATTTCATTGGAGAATATTCGTGTAGAGATTAGGGTTTTAGTGGTTGGCGTCTTTATACATTTTGCTCGACGCAAAGTAAAAAAACAGCGTAAATATATATAGGGATTATTGTAAGCACCAAAATAAAATAATAAATTTTTAATAAATCTATCTAATTACCTCCTTTTCATAAAACAATTACGTCTTAACTCTTTACGTCTTAATTCGCTATCTTTGAGCTCCCTCTCTCTCTCTGTTCCCTTACATTCTCTAACGATTCGTTCTTACAAATCATTCTATACATTTTACACTATAATTAGTGAGTAGTATGTATTTACAATATTCAACAAATTTTAATGAAACACGAAAATGTTTTGTAAAGGCTTAGGCTATTTTAGGCGTGTTTATAAACTTTACTTCTTAATATATATTTTTGGTTACAATGTTTTTACAAACTAGTGTTGGTATCAAGAACGTAAATCCATTCAAGCTACATATGTATATGTCGTGATTGCGGGAAAACAAAACAATGGCAAGAACACACTGTTGCCTAACGAAATCCCCTCAAGGCTTTCGGGGACAGCTTGTTGAAAGTAATGTAACTAAAACATATTTCTCTTTACTCAAATAATGTATACTTTTCGAAAAGACCTTTTTACTTATTACATAATGTTATTTTTATATTCAAAGTTTATTTCGGTAAATCACGCATATTTAGCGGGGAACAAGCAGTGGCAGTGGTAAATTTTGTTTAAAATAGCTTCGTTGTTGTCGTGTTTGTGTTCCATTAAATTTTACGAACAGCGAGTTAGGTTTGTTAAGATAAACATTTTCAACTGCCTACAGTCTACACCATTGTCCGCAACGAGCTTTACTGGTATTAAATGAATACTGTGACTGTTTTAGAATTGTTCAAATATGTAGGTATTTTATTTGAATTTTCAGTTCATTCGTTTTGTTTCAGATAATTCAATGACTGACTCCTGTTTTTCTTCGTTCATTCAATGGAAGACATGATTTGGGTGAGTTTTGTTTAATGCTTATAACTACACCAATTTATTACTCATTTACTAGGGTTTACCTAAAGCCCTATGTAATATGTATATTATAACAGCGCGTTGTATCACATTATTGTGCGTTGTATTTCTTTAGCAGCTTTATATGTGGAATTTTTAGAGACACATAAATGTCCCACGTCCTGTGCAGGTGATTTCAGTTTTATGTTTTTTAAAATACAATCAGTGGGCACGGGCACGCGAGAAGGTTGAATCGAGATGAAGCGGTGGAGCGTGGACAGTGGACGAGCGCGCCGGTCCGCGTGATGTCCGGCCGCGGCGCGTCGTCCGCGCCTGCGCGTGTTTCTAGCGCGTGATGCGCGCGGACCGTGCCGCGCTCTACGCGTGGCTCGTCTGCTGCGCAGTCGCGCTCTCTACGCACAAGTATAGCACTCGAATCGTGCGAACCAAGTACGGACCCCTGCGGGGCATCGTTGTCCACGCACATCCGCAAGTCGAAGCCTATTTGGGAGTGCCGTATGCAACGCCACCTCTCGGTAGTCTTAGGTAAACTAAATTTGATTTATTTTTTCTTTAAGGAAATATTTTTTATAATCCTATAGTACTAGCGTTAGTATGTGTGTTGCAAGAATTGCACTTAGCTCCAGAAGCCCAAGGGTTTGAATCCTGATAGATTGATCGGATCAGGCTGGAGATGTGTTCCATAATTTTTCACGTTGATAGAAACGGTATTCTTTGAGTGAAGTGATATTTTAATAGGTATATGCCCCCGGTGACACCGTCTCAGTGGCGCACAACGCGGCTGGCGGACGCAGCGGGCCCGGCGTGCCCGCAATCTCCGCCCGCCGCCGCACCCCGCGATGACGCGCTGCTAATACACCCACGCGCGCGCATCAAACAGCTGGAACGTCTACTCCCTACGCTCGCTAACCAAAGTGAAGACTGTCTCTACGTAAACCTTTACGTACCTGTTAGTGGTAGGTATTTTTGATTGTTAAATTTGGCGGTAGATAACTTAATTGTTTATATTTTATTTCATAATGGTTTTTACAAGGTTTTGCTTTTGATAATCTGTTACATAGTTTACTCTGTGTCTGCTTTTAATAAGTAATTAAAATGAAGTTAAAACTATTATCAATTCAAAAATCTATTATCCAATTATAACAGCAAATGCGTATGATTTCTAATAAAACAATATAAACAAGAGAACGGCACCTGCGAGGTGGCGAATTCTCGACGAGGTCTCGCGGTGCTCGTTAATCCTTGCCAGCGGTTACATTATTTATTCACATCATTTCGCCGCTAATTCAGTGTCCGTTAAGTAAGTGCTATTAAGTTATGCATTACTTTACTTGCACTAATAATGTGATAACATTTGGTATACTTATTTCCACAATTATCAAGATATGAATATTTAAGTTCTGTATAAAGGTAATGGTTTGAAGGATAAACTCTTAAGCGACTAGTGTTGCTGGTGGTCGTACTCTAGGTATATTCTAGAACGAAAGAGAGGTTCGGGAAACATTAAAATTGTTGAAGAAGAACTTTTTATATAAGAATTGTTTTTTTGGTTATTATGTAACAAATTTTTTGTCAAATGATATAAGCCGATGATACAAATATTTGAAATTCATATTTTATTTACCTGTATTGACTTTTATTCTCTTTATTTTGTCATTTACCAAATATGTACATTGTATGTATCTCATTAATAATGTGAAATGATAAAACTATGTATTGTACCAAAAGTGAAAGCGCCCTTAATAAGGAAAAGACAGGTACGGAAGACAATATAATGATCTAGAGTGGAAGAAGGGCGCGGACACAAAGGGCGTCGAGGCCTCAATTCCGTAGTGCATTGCAGTGCATCAAGCCCCCTGCAAGCAGTGCGGAAGTGAGGTTAAGGCACTCCGTAACGACAGATCAAGACACTGAAGACAGTTAATTTGTACTTACAGCACCTGGCGTTTCTACTCTTTAGCGGATTTTTACTTATTTCATAGTGCTTCAACAAAACACTTTAACGGTTTAAAATGCGATATATATTAATTAAACTAATTTGAAAATTACAAACAGCCGTGGTCACGGGAAGACCTATAGGGAAATAATTTTCAAATACGTTTAACTTATATCGTGTTTTAAACCGTTAAAGCATCAAAATGTATTTACCTAGTGTACGCTTTCATTTAACTCTTCTCCTACATATAAATGTATATCATTATTTTATTCGTGTAAATTTTAGTTACTTAATATTTTTTTTAAGTATATATAATACGTCTTAATATTAATAAGAAACCGTTTCTAATAACTTCTTAGTGAGAGTAAACTTAAAGCAATTAGAGATTAATTAAATAATTAAAAAGTATCTTCTATATAATATAACTCGGATATGTTTCATTCAACAGGTGCAGAAGTTGATTCCGAGAGACCAGGACTGCCGTGTTTAGTATTTGTTCACGGAGAATCTTATGAATGGAGTTCGGGGAACGCTTACGATGGAACAACTCTTGCTGCACATGGAGACATTATTGTAGTTACTATCAACTTTAGATTAGGTGTTTTGGGTGAGGGATTCTTAACCTATGATTGTCCTCATTCAATTGTAGTCTTTAGATGGTTGCATTGACCATAGAATAAAAAAAGATAAGTATCATTCAGGCAGGGTGCCGACTGAAACGGACTCAAAAATGTGTCAACACAAACTCAAGAATGTGTGTGTGGTGTTAAATTACTATGCTCTGATTTATATTTTTATTTATACGTTAGTCATAATAATATAAAGTATTTTTGTTAAAATGTATTTTAGAGAAGTATCGTCTGTAGTTTGCGCGAGCAGTACACATTTAAATAAAACAGTCTTAACGTTATAAATGCGAAATGTATTAAATAACTTATATCTACAATACGATATATTATATCTACACACGCACAACGCACAACGATAGCGTGTCAGATTTGACTTTCTCTTAAAGGACATCATTCATCTTCATTACCTCCGTGACCATGGCTGCTGCAAAGCAACCGAAAGGTCGGGAGTAGTTAAAATATATTGTAAATATGATAGCTAATAAATTTCGTGTTTTAAAACCTTATTTTTTTTTTCTTTAAATGTATTTCGAATTTTTTTAAACGACATGTGGTAGGACTTGAACCCACGTCAATAGCGTTCCATGCTTTTGCTAGAACAACTGACCAACTAAGTAAATAAATAATATTACAACTCTTAATTAGGTATTCCTCAATTTCTGTCCTCAGTAAGCTCGAAAAGTTTGTTTAAAATTATGTTTAAATTGGCCGGGTTGTTGGCAAAACCGTGATAAAACATTATTGTGTGTCCGGAAAAGGGTACTTCATTATAAAGTTTTGTGGAAACTTTTTTGTAGGTTTTTTAAAAACTGGTGCTAAAGGGTCAGCTCAGGGTAACTTTGGCCTAATGGATTTGGTTGCTGGGCTACACTGGCTGCGGGAAAACCTGCCTGCTTTCGGAGGAAATCCTGAAAAGGTTACGTTGATGGGTCACGGTACTGGCGCTGCACTTGCTAATTTTCTAGCCGTCTCACCTGTGGCTAGAGGTAATTAACATAATCAATATACCTAAAAGATTATACAAATAATTATGAGATGGAATATAGCGTAAAATTGTAAAGTTATTTTTTGATTTTATAATGTAATTTGTTCCATATCTTGTTTGTTATTATTCCTATGTTATATTATTTTAATAATGTATATGTTTTTTTATTGATAAAAAAAAATATTACATAATATTAAACAGGTTATAGTGATAACGTAAACGATATTTAAATTAATAATCTATTTAGATTGAAAACATTTACAGCACGTGTTAGATTTTTTTATAAAGAGACCTAAATATATGATTATAGGCATTGGTTTTTATATGAGATTTTAAGGATAACATGTAAATAACAAGAAGATATACTGTCAAAAGCTATTCTATTTCGTTAAACAAGATGTTATATTTCAGCAACGTATTCCCCATAATAACGGCAACACATTTATTGTATAAAAACATCTAGGAATCTAACAAATAATGGTACCCCAATTATATATTAATTTTGAAGATATTTATCTATATATTACACAAGGTTACGATACTTAATTGACATATATTGATGCCAATTCAATATAAATAAAAAGTACATAATATATCACAACCTATTTATTACAATATAATAATGTACATCATACCTGAACCATCCAATGTTCAACCAACGTTCGTATATAGGTATTAATACAGATATACGATTTTAAACATATTCTGAAACCTCTAACGTTCCAAACAACGTTCCACCAACGTTTACCCTGCGATCGCTCCAGAGCCACTGCTCCCTCGCTTTACAGCGCACCCCCTTTTATACAATACAATTCACAAACAACCGACCAGGTGTTAGCCTCACGTCATCGAATAACACGAACATTACTTTTAAACATTTTGTAAACTACCCGCAGTTATACATCACAAAAACAATGATTTATTATAGATAACGTAGTATCTAAATAATATAGATATATTATTTAGATAACGTTTAATTATATATATATATACAAAATAATTCAAATAATCTGTCACACGCGTGTATCCAAAGCGTTCCATGCTGCTTCTTAAATCAATTGAGCTTCCGTGAAAAAAATGTAAAAAATAATTTAGTTTTCAATTATATGATTAACAATAATTTTACAATTCATGTGCGAATATGGATATATCTATTATATATGTTATACTATAGCAAAGTCTGTCAATATCCTAACAATATATCCCTATCTCGGGAAATACAGTTTTTCCCAAAAACAAAATGAAAGAACATTTTTTACTTTCACAGTCAATTTAATGAATGTGAGGTTTGTTTATGGTATGTAAATTTCCACAATGCTTTTCGGGACAAAACGAAGGTTGGGGATTTAATTATCGCCATTTCGTCCCGTGCATTGGTTGAAAGAATGAACAATATAAATTATGAGGTTATGGTTTCATTTAATCGGAGTCCGCAAACGGCACTCGTTCACGGATGACGCATGGGACACCATTGTTCGTTATTAGACCGAGACGCGGGAATTTCATTGTAATATCGTGGTAGATTTAAATTATCCTCTACTTCTAACCTAATTATTTTCTGTCACAAATAATTAAGTATAATCTGTGTTCAATAAATACTAATGGCCAGTCTATGGTCGATTTTAAACTTTTATTTGAATTATCCAACACACACATTGAAGTTACACGTAAAATGAAACACTTTTCAACGTTTCGGAACACGAGGATATAAAATCTTACGTCTTTATCACGTTGCCAGACCAAACCGTTTTATGTCGAGTTTTCATAAAAGATGTTTTTTTTTCAAATTTCTTTATCAAGTCAGTTGTGTTAGTTACGTTGATAATCGGTTAAGATAAAACTATTCTATTATGAACTTTTTCTATTTTTAACTCACCATCGACTGTAAAAATAAATAAACAAATGTGTGTGTGCGTGAAATTTGATTAGTGTGTATTTTTTTGTTATTTTATGTTTAATAAAAAATGACGTTCGTGACACAATGTATATAACCATGAGTTAGGGTACAAAATGTCAACGTAATTATACGAAATACAATTATTGATATATTGAATAAGTTACTTTCTCAATTGGTTCTATAGTGCCTCTTCCAAGGCTGTTACAGGGCGTTATTAATACTAGCGTATCGCAATTCAAGACAAGGATCAATCTATATAATCTTAGGCAATTTGGATTCTTAAACTAAAACTAATATCTCACCGAAATGTAGTCTATATAAAATTATCTTTGTACAATAGTACAAGCATTTATGCATGACTTTTCATTGTATTTTGTAATGAAAAAACATAGCTTTTAAATCAAAACAAAATAAAATATGTTTTACAATGAAAAGCTAATTCAAATTTATTAATGTAATCTATTTTCTACTGTAGTTTTTTTATGGGCTTATTTAGTAAACTTAACTATACATTTTTAACACAAAAAAAATAAAAACCACCATTTATAATTAAGGTTACTAAATAAAATGATTTGTTTTATTTATATAAACCGTTCTATAAACAATAAAACTAAATACATTTATCTGTTTCAGAGCTATTGAAGCGAGTGATTTTGTTGAGCGGGTCGGGGTTGAGTTCGTGGGCATTGCAAAGGGAACCTCTCACGATAAAAAGAAAGGTAGATGGATTGATAAAACTTTGCTCAACAACTGTTATAAGCATTATGGACGGATAATTGAGATAGTTGTAATATAGACTGAGCTTTAAGAATAATATTTGTAATATTTTCTTTACGTATCTGCGATGTATTAGTTACATATCACCTCGTGTTTATTTGTTTTTTCTTTTTAACTTATAATGTTATTTGTATGAATAAAAAATGCTCCAACAGAATATTTTTTTTAAAACCTTTTGATTTTTGATAAATTAATTTTATTTTTGAGATACAATTAGGCTATGTGCATTTTAAGCACCCTTTTTAGGTGTAAAAAAGGTCAAACAAAGACATTTATGTACATATGTTATTATTAATGTGAATCAAGCCGTAGCACGACTGAAAATTGGATACAATGTTTTTCCCCGCGGATAAAACCGCTCGAGAAAACTCTAGAGATTAATGTATGACTCGCATCTTAGGTAGCGGAGCAGACTGGTTGCCATGGAGACTTACTTGAGGACGACTTAGCGCCGTGCCTCCGCAACAAGCCGCTTGATGAATTACTTGCGGTCCGATTGGAGCCTCCACGGTTCTTGCCCGGCTTCGCGCCGTTCGTGGACGGAACCGTTATCGTTAATCCTTCCTTTGTAAGTTTTATTTACTCTTTTATACTGTTATTAACTTCTTTATTTCATTGACAAGGCATAGATCAGTTGTTTTAGAAAGTTACTGTTTATTTTAGTAAAAATCTTGTGATAGATTAATCACAAAATTGTCATTTGTATTTTGTAACAAATAATCAAAAATATTTATAAGTATGGTCAGAATACCACGAACTTTTAAGACCATATTGATCACTTATATTCGTATCCAGAAAATAACAGAGCGACTAAAGTTAGGGGTGTCATTTTAATTTATTATCTGTGCGCGAATACATTAAACTTATCTATGGACCAATAAAAAACACACATTATACTGTTGTCGTTAAATCCGAATAGACAAACTACGGTTTTATTAAAAGAGCAATATCACGTTAACTTTTAATATCACGAAAAACAGATAACTGCTATCACTATGCGCAGGTTTTATTAACAATAAATCTCACTCGGCTAACGATAATAGCGGATAAATTTTGCATGTGTTTTCGTAGCACAGCCGCGTAGCACGTGCTACGAAAATACATTCACGGGCTGTTCCATACGTATTTATAACGTTACCTTATTAACTTGAATTAGCCAATTTATAGCAAAGCCAAAAGGAAGTCCTAGATATTTAAAAAAACATAGATATATGAGACACCTTACAGTGTACGTACGTCAACTATGCACAGACACATTGCTGTGTCTGTTTCACTGATAAATTTTATTAACAAGCACATTATTGATTCTTGACTTGGCTACATGAAACAATTTATAATATTTCCTGGGACTCGATCCCTTGACCCCTCGTGCTTTATATATGCATTTAACTATTGTGCCACTAAGCCGGTCACATTTATGTATGTAACGCTCTACTGATATAATATAATCGACTTAACTGACTTAAAAAGAACAAGATAGCAACAATTTTACAGATAAATAGTTTATATAAGTTTTATTAATTTTATGGAAATTATATAAACCAATTTAGATCCAAGAATTTTAAATTGAAATAATAAAAAAAACCGATGACACAACGACGAAGACGAAAAAATACGCTCTTAAAATATCATATCTATTTAAGGACTATTTAAATATATTATGTGAAATATTCGCATTTTATTATTTCCTATATGTTATAATAATCTAGTAATAATTAATAGTAGTGATTAGTTGTAAGCAACAGATTTTTTGTTTTTAAGTGTTAGGTTCTCATCTGTCATGACATAGAAATTTGTATGTTTAACTTTGTCTTATATATTAAAATGTAAATATATATTAAAGTCGTATGTATGTTGTAATGAAATAGGCGCCCCCTCCTACTGATAGTTCGCGGCTGGGCGCCGGAGCGGCCGCTGTGGCTAGCGCTGCCGGTCATGAATTAGCCGACTTCCCGCACAGAGAGCTGCTTTTCGGACTAACTACTACAGGTTTGTAACCATTAGTGTCGTTAAACATCTCTGTTCTCTCTATTCCCTATTATTTTCTAGCAAATTGGACTACGGGCAAGTTTTATGTTATGGTTTGTTTTGTTAAGTGGTAGGTATGGGGTGATATTCTTGTTCAGTATTGGTCTAATTAAAGAAAGTGAATAGTAATAGTAATATTTTTTTATCATTATATTATTAATTTCAAATGAGCAACCGAGGACTTATTACACTGAACGTTGAGAACCCCTTTCTCTTACGTCGGCCGAACAGTCCGAAAAACAATGATAAGCTGAACGATGGCCGTGAAAGCCTTTCACAATTTAGTAATTATTTTAGTAGTAGTTAAAGACAGCCAACTTTTAAATGTGTACTACGTAGTACGTCTTAGTTCTGAAACCTCTCTCATATAAAAAAGTGCCCCACCAGTGGGGTATTGGGGTTGGAACGAAAAAAACTATTTATATAAGCAGACCATTGTATAAGTATAATAAATTTAGAATCGTTCACAAGGCTTAGTTTAAAAAATACGTCGATTTGAAAAAGCTATGAGCCGGTGAATTCTTACTTTTTAATTAAATAGACGCGAATGCCAAAGCGTCGACTCATAAATTTATGCAAATGAATGACATGCCATTACTTGCAGAATCTTACTTGGAATTCAATGCTCAAGACTTGGAGTTCGGCTTCAATGAAAGCCGGCGCGACCGCATTTTGCGCACTTTCGTCCGCAACGCTTATTACTACCATCTCAATGAGATTTATTCGACTCTCAAAAACGAGTACACGGACTGGGATAAGCCCGTACAAAACCCGCTCAGCGTTCGAGACGCCACTCTAGAGGTACACTATTAACTATTGTTATTATGTATGAATGCGTAGGGATTTGTTCCACCATTTACGTAGTTTTAGAAAAAGAGGAATCAGCAGCAAAATGTCTATAGTCGGTCTATAGTTTACGCGGGTAGTATATTCAAAAAAAACTTTACGGTTTAAAACGCGGTCTATAATGTTTACTAGCCGACCACGGCTGCTAAAGTCACGTCGAAAATTCAAATAAGTTTAACTAACTATCGCTTTTAACGTTTAAAATGCTAGTGATAGTATACTACACCATGCGGGGTTGCGAGTGTTCCGGTTCGAGCGCACCTTACTATTATCCATATCGGCTTGTAAATCGATTGGCGAGTTCAAAGCAGACGCATCGCTGCGCGAGAAACTAAGCTTTTAAACAGCAATGAGCGAGTGAAGAGTAGCTCTCTGGCGTAGAGATCTTAGCAAATTAATCATATATTTTCATACCTATATATTGATTTAGATTGTACATACGTCCATTTGTTAATACGGCAACTTTTATAAACATATGAAAAGTGAAGGCATGTATAGCAAGTGGCAGACACGTGTCCATTTTACTTTTCACATTCTCGGGATTCAAACCCAACCTCAGAATTTTACATCTCCTCAGTTATTCAGATAGAAAATTACTATATATTGTTTAAATACTCGTACGACAATTTGTTACCTCTAACTACTACCATTTATTGGTTTATTTATTTTAATTAATTTTTACTCAAAATATCAATCTAAAGAAAAAATAAATAAAAAGTTAAATATCGTTGATTAATGTTATCTCCATGAAGGCAGAGATGAGTACGAATGTTTTCCGTGGGGAAATAAGAATATATAGGGCAATGTTCGACGGCAGGTAATTCCATTTTTCTATTTCCCTCACTTCTTTAAATGAGAAGAGTGCTTTGACTAATCATAAAACGTTCACGTTGTTGAAAACAATACAGTCAAAGAGATTCGCCAAAAGTCTTTTTGTGTGATTAATGAAACATTAAAATATTGTTTTTATGACACTAGAGGACAGTCGATCTGAATCTTAATGAATGAATGGAAATTACTTATAACGAGCTCGTTGAACCATTACGGTTGTAATGTAGTGCTAATAATCAGTAAATTTATTTTTTTCTAAAACTTGTTGGAGTTCGTTTGGAAATCTGGTTAGTAAATGGGTGGTAGAGATATTGAAATTCCGCCCGGGTCACGAACCATCGTTCACATAAGAAAAATCTGTCAAGTTTAATCGCGTTTAGGTTACAGTTTGTGGATAACCGAATATCAAAAGTCACATATGTCGCATAGGTAGTCAAACAGCGCGTTTTGTTTAGATTTATATGAGTGCGCTGTTTCTCCTACCAACAGCGGTGCTTGTCTCTAAAAAACATGTTATATTCAAGCCATATATATGCCATAAGCTTATATTCCTTTGCTATTTTGGCTCAGGATATTTAGAAATGCACAAATTGATACTTGGATTAACACAGCACGGCTTTTCTGTTTGAGGGCGGTGATACGTGACCTGGGCGGAATTGCGATATTCCTACCACTTTAATGTCCACCATTTTCCGTCTATTTTATACGTTTAACATGTTTAGAAAAGTCAAAAGATAATTTACAACAAGCTAAGGCCATGGGAGTTAAACACGTCTGGTTGTTTATTACTATCACTAGACCGATGGGCCATTGAAAATTTTCTTTATTCATTCTAGCACTGTTATTAGTTGGTTTACAAAATTAAACACCACTTCTTGATACGGTCAAATTATTTAAGAATCTACCAGCAGCAACGGTTTTACATTAATATTAGTCTATCATCTATCTACCCTGTACATATTTTCCTATTTATGTACTTTAGTGTTGAATTTTAATCAAGCCAAAATAAGAGATTGTCGGCACTCCGGCTTAATGTATTTATTTCAACAGACCCTCTAAAACGATGTGGGTTTAGGGAGGCGAGGCTTCTGCGGTTGTAGTTAGAATGATTAATAAACCTTTTTAGCCTTCATTTTTTATTTTAATAGCATCTAGGTTTCTTAGGACATTACGCATTTTCTAGATTTAAGTCAAGACGTCCTGAATTCGAGTTTCGGGAAAATTGTTTTTAAAAAAAAAAATTAACCGTTTTAAAAACAAAAAAATTATTAAAAAAATTTTAAAAAAATTTTTTTTCCCCCCCCCCCCCCCGGGGGGGGGGCCCCCCCGCCGGGGGGGGGGGGGGGGAAAAAAAAAAAAAAAAAAAAAAAAAAAAAAAAAAAAAAAAAAATAAAAAAAAAAAAAAATTTATATTTAAATATTTTTACACCCAAAAATTGTTTTACTTACCTAATAGAGATAGATCTGTAATTGATCCAGATTCCTCTGTGTATTCCTATTGCAAAATCATTTGTGTAGCTATTTCATTGACGGCAACTGGTACATTAGTGTTCCGTACTCTGCCTAAACTTAAACAGTTATGGTACCTTCAGAAGAAAACCGGGCCTAACTGCTCTGTAAAACGGACATTAATATGTCTGCTCTGGAAGTGAAATACAAGGGAGTAATTTTTTTAAAATTTCGAATACATTTGATGGGCTCGTTGGTACTATTGGTAGCAAGGTATGGTTGATAATCAAAGGGTCGTGGGTCCGATTCCCACCGGATCCAACATGTTGGACTTCGTCTGAAAATATTAAATGGGTGGTAGGAATATAGAAATTCCGTCCGGGTCAAAAACCTCCGTCCACAGATGAAAAAGCCGTGAAGCTTAATCGCGTTTCGGTTTCAGTCTGTGGATTTCCGAATATCCAAAGCCAAAATAGGTGGACGGCGCATCATCATGCTCAGATGATATAGGTTGTGGTATATCATCAAGTGAACTTCATGCCTGGACGAACGACGAAAGAAACCTATCTTGTAAATAAAATGCAAATTAGTTGATGTTATTTTATATCCGACTGCGAGAATATAACTCTTGTTAATTGTAAACATAGATGGTTTTAATTTAAAGCTTCCGGAAATGCAAAACACCGATGCGGTGCAACTAGCTCGCATTACAATGCCCGAGTTAATGATATCGTACGGTTCTCTTGTTTTTGAGGTATATATTTCAGTGCGCTACAGTATACTTATGTAATTATGAACGTTGTTAAGTTATTACTCTATATTTCTAAGTACCTGTTTATTTTTAAAGTTTAGTAAATGCTTCTCATTTGTAACTCTATTAGAGAATATTTGTAACAGTATTTGAATTTTGTTCCATACATCAGAACGAAGCCAAAATAGTTTAGATGTTTTATGACTGGGATGTACCTACCATCAAGTAATAAAAAATAATTAAATTTCAAATTTAGGCTGATTTTAGTTTATGTTCTATTTTGGTAAATGATGTGTTTGCCAGTGTATTAATATAATTTTAACTCAATAAAATGTAACCAATATAAAATTTTATAACAGATACTAAGCGACGGTCGCACGGCTGCCCCTCTCATAAGGCTGGGCTACTTACACGCTCTTCGTCGTGGCACCACGTACTTCACTCATTTCCACTACCTGTCACCAGAAAAAGATTATCCTCAGGTAAAATTTTGTGTCCCTTGATATTGATTTTCAATAATCGCTAATCTAATTATGTTACGGTTGTCGTAATCAATTTATTGAGGATATAAGTAAACAGCTTTCGTCTTTAAAAGATTAGGCTTTTAGTTCGTACTTAATACGAGTATTAAGAACTTTATCTTAGTAGTGACTAAAATTTTGTTAAGTTTGAGTATGTTTTTGTTCGATATTTGAAATTGTATATCATATAATGTAGGTACTTACGTTCATGAGTTCTATGTACGTCGAGATTTTTCTAAACTAATGTGGAATTATTATTATTCAATATTATGTTTTATATGGAAAACTTTAATTATAAAGTTAAGTTGTAATGTTTACGATATAAGATCCAAGTGATTTTGATTTTGATTTCTTCGTAGCTGCAACAGTAATTCTTTGTAAAGGTCTTTAAATTTGATGGCACTTTGAAATATGCATTATTATTACGATCTTATATCCTTAGTATCTGTGCATCTTTCCTTAGATTTCAGAAAACCATTTTTTATGTTTTTTTATAAATATATAGAAATCCCTATAATTAAACGCACACCTTTCTTTGTAAGCGTATTTATGTATTTGTGTTATTTCAGCGACCGGGTTCCGTTCATGGTGAAGAGTTGCCATTCTATTTGGGAATGCCACTTTCCCAAACTTATCACCATTTAAACTTCACTGCGCAAGAGCAAAGAGTATCGAAACTTTGCATGCACTACGTGGCTAATTTCGTTCGATATGGGTATGTGACTTTTCGTAAACATGTCTTCAAAGTTTCTCTTTTGTTGTGCACTCGGTCGAAACTGAGAAAAGGTTTTCGGTTACTAAGTGAGGATTGAGTCGTAGAGGCGAAACGTCGAAAACCTTTTCCACAATAACTTCGGTCGGATACGTCGAATGTCAAAGTAGCTTAAAGTATTTGTAATAGACATTTCTATAATCGCCCGTGAAATGATGAGCACAAATATTTATAGGAATCCAAATGATCCATCCGCCACACCACCACCGAGCCCTATGTTAGGAGAACCTGCTTCTGTTGGTCCTGATGACGTACCTTTTTGGGACACATATGATACCATCAATCAGCTTTATATGGAAATGAGTAAGTGTCTTATATTCAAATTCGTAGACTTTGTTATGTAATTCATACTTAAACTTATTTGTTGTTATTAAGGTACAAAACCTGGTATGAGAAGTCACTATCGTGGTCACAAAATGTCCTTGTGGTTGTCTCTCATACCGCAATTGCATCGACCAGGAAATGACTTGCCAGACGCTGCAATGAAACATCACCATTTTTTAGAAGAAAGTCCGACCTATTACGATGGTAAGACACCTTATAAGTATATTTTGATAGCAGTCGGTAATCCTATTTGAATAACACAAAAGGCGCATTATTGTTTTTATTAGGTCCCGTCCGACAACAATCGAAGTCTCGTGACCATGTTCCACACGTGGTAAATATTGGAAGGAGTGGCGAAAAGAGCACGCCTCCATCACGTTCCGCTTCACCAAAGCCGTCCCCTGCCCCTCCAGCTTCAACAGAATGTCCACCAAACGCTACATCGCCTCCAATACAAACTGATGACGCCCTGCTACGGCGACTCGCTTCTTCGCATTATCAGTCCTATACTGCTGCTCTGACAGTTACGATTGCTGTTGGATGCTTCCTACTACTTTTAAATGTTCTTATTTTTGCTGGTATATATCACCAGAGAGGTTCACGACCGCGACGATGTAAAGACGATCTAACAGAGGCTGGAAGCTCTTCATCTTCTGATAACTACGATGGAAAATTAGATTATGAGGTGCGCGCTTTTGAGGGCAAGGGCTTCGGGTTTGAGTGCAAATCCGCGCACGTTCCGAGAGGTTCAGGTTCAAAGTTTGATTTGCGAACTCTATCAGATTGTGGTGAACCTACGTTTGGGGAGTATAGTTGTTATGACGAAAAACATCAAGCTGCAAGAAGGTCATTACCAGATGTGAGTGTTGGCAGTGCTATTGATGCTGGAAATGTGGTATGTATAGATACTCAGAAGCCGGATATACAAAGAATAGAAGCGCGTATACAAGAGGCCGTATCTAGAACTAGCACATTCGAACCTCGGGTTGTAGATAGTTCCACTCAAGTAAAATTTGGACCTTTATCAGATGGTACTGAAGTTCTTTCAGATACCAATGGTGATTCTGATACAGGCCTTCCTAGTAGCTCGGGTATTCTCCGAGTTCCACCAGCACCAACAACACCAGCACCGCCGGGGATTATGAAGAAGAGAGTGCAGATCCAAGAAATATCTGTATGAGATTTAGAGTTATTAGACACTGCAGAAGTGGTGGTGAACGAAAGAACTAAGTTATAGAATATAAGAAAATGTGTTTGTAATTGTATATTTATGCATACTGTGTGTATTGTAAATACTGTAAAGTGAAATTAAAAGTTGGTCCGAATAGTCTTATAATAAGTTTGTAAATATGTTAATTATTATTGTTGGAGTGGAAGACCACACATTTTCCTCATTGGAAACTTAAGACCAAGGGAAGCAAAGCGGTACATATGTTAATAAATAATATTGACTACTAGGTGATATTTGATATTCTCCTTATGTGTCATGATAATGACCCAGCAGACTTAAATAGATAAACAAATTTATTAATGATAAATAAAAACAGACTCAGAACTGTAAAATATTTCACTTGTCTTGGCTATAGTTTTTAATTGGAAAATGGCTTATAACACTTTTGAAACAGATTATGTAATGATAATTGTAATTATCGCGAGGTTATGTGCATTACAGTTATTTTCGTATAATGTAAGTAAATGTGTGAATATTACAATAACAATAAGTCGTGAGTATTAAACATTAACAATAAGACTCAGTAACTTGCCAATGTATCTGTATATAAATTTATCAAAGTGTTTCAGAGTTGTAGGATGTATAAGGCAGCCGCGTATGTTGTGATTTTTTGTAAATTTGATTTAAATAATATAATAATAACAATATACCTAATAGGTGTGTAGTTTTTGATAAGTAACAATTTAAATAAATAAATGACAGTTTATGGACGAGTCCTTTTGCGCATCAACTATAATATATATATATATATATATATATATATGTATAAATGATTCGATTTTTACATTGTCATGTTGGAACTCATAAGGTAAACAGGGTAATACCTCGCGATCTGCTTGAGAAAAGATATTTTTTCGAAAGGTGGAGGACGAGCTTAATCAAAACATAGTTTGTGTAGCTACTACCCTCGTACGAAATAATAAACATTTCCTCCAACACAATTCGAGCCTACGACAGAAACTAATTTTATTCCTTTGTAACTTAGTTATATGGTAGCAAGCTTCGTCCGGTTCCTATAACCTTCCACACTATTGTTGTTTTTGGGCAAGGGTTGTTTGATAATCTTTTTAAGTGATACTTTTTAAACTCGTGCTGGATTTCAAACGGCCCAATTAAACAAATTATTCACCATTTAAATAAAACTTTTTAACGGTTTACAACGCGATATATATTAGTTTAACTTATTTGAAAATTATTTACGGCCCGACGTTTCGGATGCTTAGCAGCAGCCGCGTTCACGGGAGACTTAAAGAGAGAGAGGGTGTTTGGGTATATAAATCGCGATTTGAAGCGTTAAAGTGTTTTATTAAAATTATTCATCAACTAATTAAGGTGGCGGGTGGCCTCGCTACAATCAGTTCCTCTGTTCTCACCGGTGGGAATCAGCCTCAAAATGTCATTTTACAACCAGGACATATTTTAGCAGTCTTGCAATATTTCATGCTAGTCGTATTGTAGTTTACGCGGGTAGAACCCCCCGAGGCCACTGCAGCTGCAAACCGCCTTGTAAACTACACTAAAATCCATTACTCTAATTTAGCGTTTCAAGGATTAAATAAATTTATTTAATCCTGCCGTTGCCGCTTCGTCCGTGTGGAATAGTGATTTTGGGCATCATATTATTTTATTTTTTCAAAAACCCCCTTAGCTTTATCCATTATACCGCACATATTTACTGTTACCCACTACTGTTCTTGCAAGTTAATCTTAAAAAACAGACATATACTGTCACTTTTTAGCTCATTTGAAGAAGATTAATTTTTCCATACATAGTTTTTCGTGTCTTGAAGTCCTGACAGATGAATAATTTTCTCTGTTTTTTTTCCATATTTCTATTGGTCGCAGCGTAATTTTTATGGCCTAAAATCTTTCTCGAGCTCTATAATATTGGTATAGATTTAATTTGGTATTATATTGCTTGCTACTACAAAGCCGTACCTTCTTCCAATTAAAGAACTAAATATAACTTCAATAAACTTATTGATTAGAACATATGAAATCGATCGGTATACCGACAATCTGTAATCAATTTCGCTTGGGGCTCGTCCATGATTTGTCTTTGCAGGAATTGATGAGCGTTAAGTATCTAAAATCTAAATTGAATGATTAGATGTAAGTTAACGATGTATCCATAATGTGACAAAATGTAATTCTGCCATCTTGTATCATACAAGTACTTAAATATATAAACTAAATACTTATTTACATATTTGTTATGTTTAAGTTACACAAATATTATTGTCTGTAATAGTACGGAATTGAATATTGATGAGTTAAATATATCTAGTTTATTTATTCATTGGCTAGTGATTTTAAGGTGTTAGACAATCTCCACTTGTAGTCACTCTGAATTCCTGTAAGGAATTGCTGATAAAATTTTGTTGATTTAAATATAATGTATAAGTGAGAAAATTAATTTATTATCGTTTGTTCGTTGTTATTTCATTCAAAACTTTAAAAATCCATTGGCCAAAATATTTATCGAACGTGTCAAAGAAATTGAAGCTGGATAGAAAGTAACCAAACTTTCTTTAATATGCCAAATTGTATTATTATACCAAGTTTCTGTTTAAATATATTAAGTACTTCTATTTGTTGTTGATTATTATGTAATGTGGAAAATGTATACCGTTTAATAAATAAATTGTGTTGTTTGTATATGATAAATAATACAACTGCCGTAATTTAGGAAAATAATATCGATACATTTAGGTTGTGCCAAAAAGGGGTAACAGTCGCCCCATGTATTAACTGTAGTTAAACGCTCGAACGGTTTTGAATCTTCCATTGTAAATATGTCATGTAGTGTCTAAAATTCACATTTTGTTACAGTCTGGAATTATATGGAGTGCGTACAACATAGTATTGAATAAAGTTTTGGAAGTAATGTGTATTTTTCTTTATAAATTCCTGCATATATTACTTATCTCTTAACCACGCAAGTAGACTTTTAAACGTGCCATACATATCACATAGTTAAATTTTACAATCCGTTATTTCAGATGAGAAAGAATACAAACATTTCACTCATTCTTCCAATTAGCACTTAATTATTATCGTATAACTTTATCTAAACGATTAATGCGGTCAGTCATTTATGAAATATTCAAATTTCCAATTCGGCCCTAATTTCTGTGTCTTTGAGATTATGATTATTAAAATATTCAGTAATAATTTCTCTTCCAGTTTAATTTATTCCTACAAGTTGTAAAGTCGGAGAAGCAAACTTTACTTAACAGTTTACTTTGGATTCTACTTCATAAAACTGTACTGAAATCTCACTTTATTTGAAGAGCTTCTTTTGGATTTGCACCTTAACTTTGCAGTACAGAAGTAGTCTCGAGTGTATGTAAATAGTTAACTCGATTCGCGTCTCGAAGTTTGTGTTAAAAAAACCGGAATGTCTGATTGCACTGCAACATTTCATTATAAAAACATTTCCACTGAATTGAGTTTGAGTGACATTTAAACCGACGAGTCCAGTATGCGAGCGTGCGCATTAAAAACAACCGTAAAGTTACTGAAAAATAACTACGTCCACTTTGGACATGTGAACAGTTTGTAACGAGCGAGGAGAGCGAATGATGCGGACCGTGAAACCTTCAAATTGAATTTAAAGCATCCAATTTGTTTGCCCTGGTCCGCCTATACGAGGTTATATCAACGCAAGCGCCCCCCGCGAGTTCCCACACTCGCGAAACGATTTTTGCCAATCCGCACCGCGATTTCAAGTGGATTTTAAAATAAATTATTTATAAACATGCATGAGTTGTCATGTACTTACTAAGTGTATTATTCGAGCGGTTTATTCGATTCACTTATTGAGTTATAATTGCTATAACCAATAACATTGCAAGGCGATTAAATATTGCGAATAACTAGTAGTTTAATAAATATGAAAGCCGATGTATTACTGTAAAGCGTGAACTGTATAACCAATCAAATATCCTTTATTTTGATAATGATATTATTTTAAATTTTGTAATGTGTTCACTACATTATATATTTCAGTTTATTTGATTATTATAATGTAACTAATAAGAAAAAATAATCGAATTACAGAAGCTAATATGCGGTGAATTTAAGGTTTTCTAACAAACTCGTTAGTCCCATGGCAGATGTGTTTTGCTACCAACGGGTTGCGAGTGCAACTCCCACCGATTCCTATATGTTTCTATTTTTTGGGTTTTCGAGCTTTCCAACTGTCCTCTTTCGCTATCATCTCCTGATGATGTCAAGTGTCTCCTTGTGATGGCGAAACGACGTAAACGGAATCTCAATTAAACATCTCATAAACGTAAGAAGCTTTGAAAACTTGGCGTACATTTTTAATTTAATTCGGGTTTTTAAGTCATTTCAGATATTTACTAGTGCCTCGTCCGGAAAATCTGGATATTTATGGGTGGTAGGAATTGCTGGCCACCGTCTACATATAGAAAATCTGTAAATTTCTCGTTTTAGTTTCAGTCAGTGGTTTTCCAAATGTCCGCAGCCAAAATAGTCTGACAGCTGATAAGATGTTATATGACTGGGGTATTTCCATCAAATGAACTTCATCCTTGTCTTCCTATCATAAAAAATATTGCATGATATATTGTTCAATAAACTTAAATACATATAACACAATAAAAACCATAACCCTTCCGGTTTCGTCAGCGTCGGGTAAAACGTCCATGATTAATGTAACTATCGCATTGACATGTGAACGAGTCGGATTGTTGAATTGCCTCGAATGAAAGATATTTCACGCGATAATTGGGCAATTTTCCTTAATTCCCGCGGTTAAATCCGCCCTTCATGTACCTGACCTGTTTAATAATATGAACGGTAAACTATTTCACGCATTTATGGAATGGCGATGATACGTACATTTTCCATTCGCATATACCTTGTATACAAATTATTTCTGGTATTGGAAAAGCGTTTTCCGATACGATGAAAGTTCGGTG